AGCACGGCTCCGCAGTAGAAGAGTCCGGGTGCTAGACTGACCTGCCTGCAGTCCAGACCGGCCACCCACTGAAAACATTTGGCATTTGGCAAATGAGACTCCGAACTGTTGAGCAGTTGAAATCCCATATCAGGCAAGAAGGGAGAGACTTTCACTTTCAAAACTGCAGCAAAACGTTTACAGAGTATTGTTTAAAGAACAGGTGACGCAAAACATGCCCGTCTCAGCTTTTCTGAAACGTGTTGCTGGCATCAAATTCAAATTAAGATTATATTTGTCATAAAACGGTAACTTTTCTCATTTTTCGGCATTTAATATGTTGTCCTTGTTCAATTTTCAATTAAACATGGGTTTATATGATTTACAGATCATTGCATTCTGTTTTTATTTACATTTTATTTATTTACATTTTACACAGCATCCCCACTTTTCTGGAAATGGGGTTGTAAAGTTTGAAGATCTCCCAGGTAAAATTTGAATGTGCTTGAACTTATTTACTCTTCACACAGCTTGAGGCTATATAAAAACTTTTTACTATTAGCATCTTTCTGTAATGTAATTTATATTTTAGATTAATTACAAATTGTTTGTCTATGGCAGTTCAGTAACACAATGACATTTTTGGTGCCAAAATAAAATGTCATTTGAAATTGACTATAGGATTTTGTCTAAATGAATAAAACCTTGCCTGGGACATTAAGATGTTAAAAACTTTGTGAGATGTTATTGGTCTTAGTTTCTTTAGTTCAGTGACACACGTGGGAAGGGGGGTTTGTGTGGCTCTTTGAGAGCCTGTCTGCCTTTCCTGTAGCCCTTCTGATATATTAGTGCTTTCATGTAGCCCTTGTGATATATTAGTGCTTTTTAGACTGCAGGGACAGAGAGAAACACTTGCCCACACTTAGCCTCATTGAGCCATACACTCCTTCCACTGTCATTTTAAAATGTTCCAGCACCTCATCACTAAACATCAGTGTCATGGCTGTCTCCTTGAGTACTCAGTGAGTCACAGAACAAGTGTGCGGACGTTGTTTTATCAATGGAAAAATCTGCTTTAGATCCTGAATGTGTTTAACTCGCTAGGATCTACTGACAAAGGTCATACTACATGCCGTAATTCTGGAATGGCATGGCAATGTGCTCAGGACCCAGTCCTGAAGCCTGCCTCTCTCCAAGAGCACGCAGAGAGGCTCTGTGCAGCACAGATGAGGCTTTGGCTCCGCACTCCTGCTTCCAGGCCGGGATTTGGCTGCAGCCCGTCCCCTCTCCGTGCAGCAATCTCAGCCTTCAGGATCTGGTTCAAAAGAAGCAGCACTCATGGTTAGCTGCAGGATGCCTCCTTAGCCCCGAAACCACAGTGCAGAGGAGAATCCAATCACTTTGTTTTTGTTTTAAATTCAGTTTGGAAGTGAGCAAATAGGGGCCGGCGTGCTGGAAGGCTGCAGGAACGGGAAACTGTGTCTACGTCGCTCTGGACGTGACTCCGTCTGTTTGACTGGGCGTGAGTGTGCGTGTGAGTGTGTGTTATGTGTGTGTGTCTGTATGTGTCTGCTCGCTGCCCCCCACCCCCCGCCCCCAGAAGCTGCCATGCTTCGCCATGCCTTCTTTGTTATGGGCCGTGTGAAGCCAGACTGATTCCGAGGAGCTCCGGGCTCGCAGAGAGATCCCAAGACAAACATGGATGTGTTTATGAGACTGATTTTTATCCTGCTACAGGACTGGAATTATACTGATCGGAATAAGGCGCATCACAGTCCGGATTATTGAGAGCTGCCTGTGTGCACACGTGTGTGTATGTCTGTGTGTGTGTTTGCGTGAGCGTGCCTGTGTGTTTTGTCTTATCTATTCCAAAACAAGAGAAGAGAGATAGCCCCAGCTACGCTTTCACTGTAGCTGTGTTTTTTTTTTTTTGGGGGGGGGGGGAGGGAGTGACGGGGACTGCGCGTGGCGAAGGGGCTGTGGAGCGTGACTCCTCACTTGGACTGCTGCTCTGTGGTGGGGACGGGGAGGGGGCACGGAGCGGATTCCCCCACCGGTGTCCGCGGAGGGCCGTTGGTGGCGTTATGAAGAGTCACCCATGCGTCCACGCCGGGCGAAACGACATGGCCGTCGACGGAGCAGTGGACCCTCCACTGGGAGCCACCGCCAGTCCAGTCAAGAGGCTGAAAACTGACCCGCCGCTCCGCTCTCTCCCTCCAGAGGAGGCCTACCAGAAGCTGGCCACCGAGACCCTGGAGGAGCTGGACTGGTGCCTGGACCAGCTGGAGACGCTGCAGACCAGGCACTCCGTCAGCGAGATGGCCTCCAACAAGGTGAGCGTCCGGCACCTGTGTGCCACCTTGCGGGCGCCTGCAAACCGGGACGCGGTAAACGGCGCGGGTGCTGTGGAGATGTTACGGCTGGGTCATGAGTAGCGACGGCGCTGCCTTGCCGAGCCTGTAAGAGGCGCTCCGCATAGCAGCGGCGGTCTTGGGCAAAGCCAAGATGGCAGAGTGACGGGTGTCACGCGCTCGCGGAGAGCAGCTCACTGCCAGAGCCCCGTCATTCAGAAAAGGCAGCTGTGTGGCCGGTTGCTCGCAGCTGATTCCTGCGATGAATGACTCCCCCCGCTGGGAGATGTATAACTGTGGCAGGGCACTGGAGCCTGTATCTCTCTGCACACATACAGTGTGTAAAGTCTGAGGGACGCCTTGCTCAAGGCTGTGTGGTGTAGTAGTTGTTGTTGTTGTTGTGCTTATAGCTGTCTAGCTGACTGGCACAGCACTGGCAGGTCGCATGTTTGTCAGACCGATAGACGTCACCGTTTGTCTTTCACATTCGCAGCGAAAATTTTGGCGAAAAATGACCGGATAATGGAAGGCAGTGAAGCTGGTGTTTGTGTCGTCTGGATGTGCCCTTTCTGAATCTTGATTTCTTTGCTGGGACGCGTTTAAGAGCGAATGTCTTCAGGCTGGTGTAGCCTTACGCCTCAGCGGTGAATAACAGCAAGGGGATGGCGGCTTGCAGAGCCAAGGAAGGGTGCGAACTGTTGCAATGAAGGTCGTCGGTTTGAAGAGCATGCCCGTGTTGTGGGGGCTGGGGGTCCCAGTCATGTGTGGCTTTAATTGCAGCTGGAGATAATGGTGCCATGTGCTGCCCCTCATGCCCTGTCTGTCAGTATGGCATCACACCTCATTCCCCCGATGCTCTTAAGTGCCTTGTTTTATTTAGCTCATACAGATACTGGAGCATTTGTCCATGTGACAGTTTTTAAAAGGCTGACCTGTTTCCAAGTTCATAACATCTGTCACGTATACCGCAGCCGTCACGTGGCACTGCCCAGGGCCTCGAACCCATGTACACTCATCCAGCAAATACTAACCCTCCTCAGATCAGGAGAATTTATTTTTTAATTGTCCAGGATGTGAGATGTACAGGTACTGAGGATTTGGATATTGAAGATTCTGATAGGTAGGAGGATCACTTAAAGTTGCTTTGGAGGTCATTTAGATTTGTGTCCCTAATATTTTAATACATTCTGTTGTCTGCTACTAAAACCAGAGTCAACATAGAGTCCATAAAAAACGTCTTGGGTTCCCCCAGGGGAACCCTACCAGTGTTTTAAGCAGGACGTATCAAGCATTTGTAATCAGCCTTGTGAAGGTCACCTACTGGGTGTGCACTTGCTGAGGCCAACTAAACATATTCCCTAGGTTTTAGTTTGTTGGATAGATAAATTACATTTCAAATATGGTTACACATGCAGTTTAAATGAACAAGTTAATGACTGTAATGCACCCAAATTCATTCAAGTGCATTACAGTCAGTCACTTCTTTATTTCAAATGTGTTTGATTTTATCTACTGTAGATATTACTCTTGTGCTGGTGAGTTGAATATTGGGAATTGACATTAATCTGCTGATTCTCCTGGAATTTCTCTGATTGGCTGCTTGAAGCAGGGGTGACATTAATTGTTGATTTGCACAGCACTCATTTTAAGGTATTTGCAGCAACAGTACAGCTATTGACCTGTTTAATCCCAAATATTTCAAATAAATGTTATTCCCTATGAAATATGTTTTCTCTTTGTTGAGAAATGTTGTTAAATGGCATTTGTCTAATATTGTGGATGCTTGTTACTCTGACTGGGAAGAGTGAGTAGGATTTTTTGTACGATTCACCTAAAAGTAAGTGATAACTGAATGAGGAGAGGGATTCAGTGGGGTCTCTAAATGTTTGGCCAGTAAAGTCACGCAGGTCAGGCTGTGGCTTGAAGCAGGGGGGCCCAACTCCAGTGTGAGGTGTGTCATTCCCCTGGCTGACCTCTCAGAGGTGTTCAGGTAATCGGCTTGTATCGGCTGGCTGCGGCATGGACGCCTCCAACAAGCTGCGTCACTCAGCCCCAGTGATGCCATTTGTAGCCACTATCTGCGTGGTAATATGGAGCTGGGTCTTGGGATCGCTCTGTCTGACAAGTTTCACTCTAAGATTCAACATTTGAGATGTTTAATTGGTCATGTGCAACAAGTGTGTTGGAATGCTGACTCGTCCAACCGCATCCAGTACTGGAAACAACTAACCATATTCAATAATACTTCCAACAGCTGACCAACACCAACAGTCTAGTGAAAAGCACAACACTTTTAAATACACTGCAATTTCAGCTAAACTTTGGGTTTTGTCTACATCTTCGGTCACCTCACGTCATTGTGAGACAACGTACGGTGTACATCAATGTGCTACAAGCCGCAGAAGGTTATCTGTGTAGGAGTAGCTTAGAGCACAACAAAGAAATCATTCATAAATCTTTTCGCAGCTGATAATAGTTGCTCCTTCTGGAACATTGGACTGGCATTGGACCCCAACCGGCTACTTTCAAAAGATAGCTGTTTTGGTGAATCCCCCGAATTACAAAGGAGCACTATTCTTAGAGAGCTTAACATGTGCAAAGCCTAATGACCCAGAGATTTTGACTCCCTTTTTAAGCAGCTGTAGAGGTCAGCTGGACATAGCACCTGGGTCCCCTCATCTACAGCTCTGACTTGGCGGGGTTGTGATTACAGCGGGCCCCTCACACTCTCTGGCATGCAGGACCAAGGCTGCTCTTCTCTGATGTCACTGGATGCCAGGCAACTCTTGCCGCGTGTTTGTGTGCGCGTGTGTGTGCATGCGTGTGTGAATTAGGTTTATATTACATTGTGGGGACCAAATGTCACGCACAATGTAATAAAAACCTGTTTTGACATTGTGGGGACCATTTTTCAGGTCCCCACAAAGATCTGTGAATGCAAACAGAAAAGTAAAAATGCCCCATAGAAATTAATGGAGAGTCCGCACAAAGATTTGAATACAGGTTTTTTTTTTTTTTTTTTTTGTGTGTGTGTGTGTGTGTGGTCTGCTGGGTTTGTGTTAATCGGGGGCAATGCAGCTGATGAAAGACCCCCATATACACAAACCCGCCTCCCTGCGGACAGATGCAGCCAGAGAGCAGAGTACGCGTAGACGGAAGGACAGACGTGTGTTTAGGGAGCAGGGCACCTGGTGTGAATGGCTACAAGTGTGAAGGACGGCGGACTGACGGCCAGGGAGGCAGTCACACTCACAGAGCGAGACGCACCGGTGAGGCACACAGACAAACAGAGACGTGTCCCGGTCTCCATGGCAACGCACACGAAGTGCCCGCGGCTCGGCGGTGGTGGGGAGTGCAGGCAGGAATTTGTATACGGCGGAGACGCGCATCTTTGGAGAGCCGAGCCGGAGGAGCAGCAGACGAGACCATTTGCCGTGGAAAGGGTGGGAGAGGAGAGGCGTCAGCATGTTTGACCGGCACTCGCCGGAAAATCCCTGATACCTTAAACGTGCTTTCCATGCTCAGCGGTGTGCTTCAGGCTGTCTCGCAGGCTGCTATATGGACATTCCTTTTTTCAAATGAACAATGAATAGGAAATTCTGCTCATTAATATTCATATAAGCAACAATATTTGCAGTGTAGTGTCATTTCTCAGTGTTCATTAGATAAAAAAATACAGAGCTTTGACGTACTGCGGCACACTGCAAAAGCGCCATTCTCATAACGCTGGGCCATAGTTTGGGTTCTGCAGCCTGAGACTGTAGCTTCTCTTGCACTGGAAACAAAGCAAAGACATGACCCACCTCTCAGTTTCTCTGTCCTCTCTCTCCTCTCTCTTTCTCTCACTTTTTCTCCTTCTCTTTGAATTCTAGTTTCAATTTCAGGCTTATTTGTTTGGACGGCAGGGTACCACGTTCCCCAAAAATGATTTCAGGAACATTTTACAAATTTTAATGACACAAGCTTAGGAAACAGTAATTATTAAGCAAACAGAAATTCATCCTGTTCATTCACACTTAAAATCTGTATTGATATATTAATATAATTGGCACACACTTCTTGTAAACGAATCACATTATTCTCAAATGTTCTCATGTATGTTTTCCTTTTATTACATACATAAAAAATGTAATTGACTGTGTTGCATATTTTGTTCTAGCTGTGCAATTGAATATTTGATAACCAGTACTCTGGTTTTAGGAAAAAACAATAGAAAAACAAATATAAATTATATATGTATAAAATAGGACGGAATGTCTTGTCTTAGTTTCAGCTGCATTTTGATGTGCACACACTTAGGAACAAAGATTTTCCTTTTAGTCTTCCTGTGGCTTCAGTCCGGATCAGTCTGGATTTTTCTCATTCTGGATCGACTTGGAAAGTGTGATCCCCCCCCCCATTTTAATTTGTCAAATAAATTACAGATGAAAGGAATTTGGATTTCTTCATACCATTACATTTTGAATTATTTTCCAGGTTCAGATGAAAAAGTTTGATTTATACGCCATGAATGTTTCGGGGATTTCCCCGCAGGCGTTGTCGGCTGTGTAGATGGGGGGGATTCCTTTAGAGAGGATGATGTGTTTCTGTATTATGCTTTGATGTGGCAGGGCGGCTGGTTTATTCTTTATCTTATCCTTGTGTAAAAAAAAAAATCAGAGAGGGTAATCACGTGACAAGTATGATCGTGTCCTTTGCGTGTGTGTGGCTTTCACATGAAGGGTTGTGTGGTTATTCACCAATCCCGCTATCCACGGTAGTCCAGATGATTGATTGATTGATACATCAACATTTTTCAATAAAGACCTAGGGGTTATCTGGGTTGTCACTCTACCCTTTAACCCAGAAAAACCGTTTAACACATCATTCCATTGTCAAACACGTGTTTTTGTCTGAGATTAATACACATGCTGAGGGTCTATGCTCCGGGCCCCACACAATAAGGGACTCTGCAAAACTTCCAAAAACTACTGCTACAGGAGACACCACATATACTGTATCATAAGTCTACAAAACTAGTGTATAAGTTTTCCTAATCTGAAATTTGCCTGAGATTATTCACTGGTAAAACTGCTTGGTGCATGACTTATCGATTGAATAGGGTATCTTTTTGAAACAGTAAAGTATCAAGGGAACTTTAGAGAGAACACCTGTGTTTGGGACAGAGAACAGACCTGAGGGGGACAGAACCTTGGCAGCAAGGAATAGAGTTATGTACACTATTAGAGTTGGACTGGATGGGATGGGATCAGTTCAGGCTAATATGCTAATACAAATTAAAAGTATGAAAACAGGGAACAAATATAGGACTGATATACCAGTGCAGAATGGGCCAGTGGTTGCATGGGATGCAATGGGTGTGAGACTGGAGTCAAACTGGTACCCAGTTCAATGGGAGCTAGATTATTTAAATGGAACACAGCGGTACAGTACAGTATATACACAGTTAAGCAAATGAAATACAATGGAAATAGTTTTTTCACAAATGTGGCAAAATCTTGTGGTGCAGATTGCATATTTAAGATTTAGACAACAAGTGATTAAAAGTTTAACTTTATTTTATAATTGTTGTGGAATTATGTTTGACAGTGAATGGGATCCATGCTTACTTTCTGCACAGGCACTGCTAAACCCGTGATGTAAATGACAGTAACACCGTCGCCTGTGTGATGCGTTCGGCGTGTCCCCCTTTGTCTCGTCCCATCCTCCCGGTCTCATGGTCCACTCCTCTGTGGGATGAGCTTGTAAAAAGGTCACACCTAAATGCAACTTGTATTTAAGTCGTGGTTAAAGTACTTAACTAAATAATAAAGGCCCACTCAGCCGGCCTCACTGGATATCAGGCACACTCAGCAGGCCTCACTGGATATCAGGCCCACTCAGCAGGCCTCACTGGATATCAGGCCCACTCAGCAGGCCTCACTGGATATCAGGCCCACTCACAGGCAGCGTCATCACGTCTCTGTAAAAGTAACAGCTTTGAAGCTTTTTTTTTGTCTCAGTGCGAGACATCATATATACCCTCATAATTCTTCGATCAGTATTTCTTCATTGTTGTACAATCTGCACACATTGCATTCTTTAAAATGTTAAGCCCAGACATCCTGCCATTGACTCTCGGGCCAAAATCAGATTTTTTTAATGGGTTCAGACTTGCAGCTCATTAGCATACCTATAGGTCTGAGTATGATTTCTTTGTGTCCCGAAGAGAAAGACGACGAAATCCCATTTCTCTAGGTATAGGGACCCGACAAGTAGCATTTTAAAAAATAACAATTTTATAGGCGTTCCATTAGACAAAAAAATATATCAGTATAAATTAATATAATCAGTATCATGTTATATGTCATATTTAGTGCTTGATGGATTATTAATCTGGGAATAATTTTATCATAGATTCAATATATAATCTAAACTGTGTTAGAAGTGTGGTGTCGTAAAAATACATATTTCCATCAGGCCAATCTATGAAGTAGCTGTTCATATTCAGAGTAGACATATGCTGAGTACACAGAACACCTCCATCAGAACCCATAAACCAATGGAGCCACTCGCACACAAACATGCAGCTCTCCTTTCTGATAAATCATGCAGTCACCATCTTGCCTTGTTTGATGCTCACAAGAGGATTTCAAGGAGTTCAGTAAGAGGGAAGCTTCACTGTCTCACTGTGCTGCAAAAATCAAACATGAGGAGGGGGGGGGTTCCGCAGGATTCGCTCAACCAATCAGCTGTCCGTATCCCCATCTTAGGTTCACGCCTTTCTGATCCATGAAAGAGATTTGATTGGCTGACTATTAGGGCGTGTGCAGACTCTGGCCGATAACATGAAGAGACCCTTATTTGGAGGATACTGCCAGTAGCCCCCTCCTCCTCCCACCCTCCAGGAGCCTCTCATCCTCCTGATTGCACGAGAAAATCTTGTTTCTGCCTCCATTACTCAACCTCCTGTGGAGCGTGGGCAAAGATGCTGATGCGGGAGGGGAGGCCCCGCCTTCGGCCCCTCGCTCTGGCTGCCTGTACCTGTCATAGCCGCTTAGTTCAGATTCCAATCCATGGATTCGTTTTCAGCACTGAGAACTGAAGGAAGGAAAAAAAGACAAAATGGAATCTGTACTGTGGATGCAGCCAGAAGGAAGTGGCATGAGAGCCGTTTGAGGTTCTCCGCTATCTGCTTTTAGAAAGCTGCTCCGTCTGCCACACAAAACTTGCAGAACCATTCCTTTCCTTATTTTGGACCAGTTTGACGTTTTCCTTTTCCCCAAAATGCCTGAAGCTAATTATTTACTTTCGGTTTCTTGGGGATACATTAAGGTAAGGCTATTGTTTTCTGAGCCTTTTTGAATATACAGTGTGGTTATTGTGGATGTGGATGAAAAAACAGAGATAATTGGCTTTTGTGTGTTGCCTGGTGTATACATTTAGCACTTGGTTAGGTCTTTGTTGCTTCAGACCTGTGATTATTGCATTCTTCTGGTGGTGGGGGGGGGATCTAGTGTGATACAGTTATTTCCCCTATTTTTGTTATATAAAACAAAACCCATTCCATTAGGACTACTGTACTTTTACAATTCCAAGGCTAGACAGATGCTTGAGAGGTATGCGAGATTCCATTTTCAAAAGCAGCACAACGGATCTTAAAATAATGTATAATTCATACCCCCCCAGTACTGTGGCACGTTCTACTTCTATTTCTAGGTCTTACGAAATTCCAGGCTATTTATTCTCAGACAATGTATTCCTAGTCCCCATTGTGCAGGAGGAAAATGACAAGTTTCTCATTGATTTGGGCTGTTCACTAATGCAATGGATATTGCCTTTCTCCTTTGTGTTATTGGGTGGTAAATAATCTGGGCTTTAATATCAATTGCAGCTTTATTTAAAAAAAAAAAAAAAAAAGTTTGCCATTTTTTCTGTAGTTAAAGTAAAGGGATTTTTTTTTAAGCTGCATTGTTGCAGTGGATGGGACACTGGAATGGGGATTTGTGGGTCATGGAGTAGCAGCCTGTTATAAGCCTGCAGGTCAATTTCAGTCCAGGAATCTTCATGAAAATAAAATGCTAAAAAAGGGTATTTTGCTCCTGCCCTTCATTGAGGTTCTGTTAAATTTTGGAAGTGCGTCCTTGGAGACAGAGGTCTAGCAGACCTGTGATCCATCCACAGCTTCTGTCATTTGCTTGCGTCATCACACCAGTCCTGTTTTATGTTGAGGTTGAGGTGAAGAAACACTATATATATATATATATATACACACATGGCCTTTGATGGAAGGCTGTAGGCTCAGGCTGATCCTCCAGCTGAGGTTTTGATCACGTGACTGTTCACATTATTCCTTCATTTGGCTTTCAGCCTCTGTACTGAAGTTGTGCGCTATTCAAACAGCAGAGTATCTGGTCCTCCAGGACCTGAATTAGATCATTCTCATTGTGGAATGTCATTGGCAGGACATTTGATGATAAAACTAAATATTTGGTAGACCAGCCATTAGGTGGTGTGGTTAAACCTGCTACAGGTATGTAGTATGATAACATAATGACTAGTAACTACCTTGTCACTACATTCATTTAAGAATAAGAAAGTGATAAACCTGGAAATATAAAGTAAAATTGCCAGCTTTCTTCCTCCTGTTTTTAGAAACCTAATTAGCACAGTTTACAGATCAGTATACAGTATACAGTATTTAGACATATATCTCACAGTATGCATCCACTTGATGCCTGCACTGGTCTCCTTAGTTCTAGTATAGTACAACTGCTGTATATGGGTCAAGGATGGGTCAAGGCGACCTGAGTCGTGACGTGACATCATAGGCATGCCCATTTATGGGCATGAGAGCTGGTAGTCACCCAAATTAAAACTCCTCACCCTCCCCATCATGTCTCTGTTATCTAAATTTTTTGGTATCTAGGTGTACATAGAATAACACCTGAGACAAGGTGATAGTTATTGTTAACATCCGTGCAATATTTAAAACTACAACAAAAATGTATGGCTGGTATACAATTAAATCCTGTCACAGTTCAGTCAACTTATGAATCAATAAATCAAGCTTTGTAACTGGTCAGTTATTTTGAATGAGCTGTTTTCAGACTATATTAGGTCACAAAACTGGCAGTGACAAAAAACAGAGAACCAAGTATGTTAGCAGTGATGTGTATCTAGAACGCCAACCTTGTTTTATAACTGCAGTGTAGCGACTAATTCATCCAAATATTAAACTGATCTACAGTTATCATAAACAAAGCTGTTTTCAGGTTCCATTACAGTCAGCATTTTCTTAGTAATGAGTCATCTTGTCATCTTGACTGAAGAAGTTCAATAACATAAAATTAAAGCAGTATTGAAATCAGTGAAATGAACCCAAAGGAACAATGTAATTCTTCATAATTAACACAGTGATGGTGAGGAGTGTTCATGTGAATGAGAAAGTTACGAGGTTATTTTGTTCTATTTTCAGTTCAAGAGGATGTTGAATCGAGAGCTTACGCACCTGTCTGAAATGAGCAGGTCGGGGAACCAGGTTTCGGAGTTCATATCCAGCACATTTTTAGGTAAGTGCATTGACACAGTGCTTTAGATCAGGCTTCTGTCTCTTAATTTCATCATGATCAGTCCTGTCTCGTGATTGTACATGAACAGTTACGGATCTGGACATTCTGATCAATGTAACTAAATACCTGGTATAGATTCAGCCAAAAATCATTCATATTTTGTCCTCTGCTCTTTTGATTATGTTGTGCTTGAATCATATTTTTTGTACTGGCTTGGTGGTTGTCTTGCATGCATCTCAGTTTTCCACTGTATATTTCCATATATACAAACTGAGGGATCCCAGATATATCTATTGATACCTATTTTATATGACCTTTTCTCTTCAACCATCCACTCATTTCACTTTGCCCCTATGCCTCTTCACCCTCTTCAGTCATCTGTGAAATTCGGTAACACTTTACTTAAAGCAGTCATTTATAACGCACTATGGATAGCTTCATAATGCATTATAATGGTCACTATAAGCCATTATAATGCATTATGATGGTATTTATAGTGTATTTTAGATGAGAGCCTCATAGAAGACTCATAATGCATTATAAACATGGGTATAATGTGCTGTGCCTTTTTATAGATAGTTATATTCATGTTTAGAATAATTTATGAGTGCATTATAATGCATTATGAAGGTATCTATAATGCATTATACATGGGGGCTTTAAGTAAAGTGTTACCTGTAATTCCCTATACAAAACAGTAGATGTGATACGGTTTAATTGGAGGGCTAGTGGGCAGCATTTATTTGGTTTTCTCTATACTTTCATTTTGAATTTTTTACCATGAGCGATTCAGAATCATGGCAAATATCACGCTCTTTTGGTCTCGGCTTCTTGCAGACAAGCAGCACGAGGTAGAGATGCCCTCCCCACAGACACAGAAGGACAAGGACAAAAAGAAAAGGCCTATGTCTCAGATCAGTGGGGTGAAGAAGCTGATGCACAGCTCCAGTCTGACCAACTCCAACATCCCCCGCTTCGGCGTGAAGACTGAGGCCGAGGACCTGCTGGCCAAGGTGGGCGGGGGCCACTCCCTTCAGCACACGGCCGTCAGCAGAAGCTGCACTCCGGCGTGGCGTTTCCATGGCTACGCTGGGCCCATGATCGCACGCAATGACACAGACTATTTGCATTTTCAGGAACTTGAAGATGTAAACAAATGGGGCCTTAACGTTTTCAAAGTCACGGAATTCTCTGGAAATCGGCCTTTAACGGTTTTGATGTACACGATTTTCCAGGTGAGACTTTTAATTTTTCTTTTACTTTTTTTTTTGAGTCCTAAACTTTTTTCTCCCCATAAATGGCTCCCACTTTGCTTACACTGTAACTGTTTTCATTCTTTTTCCATTTTCAGGAAAGAGACTTGTTAAAAACATTCAAAATTCCATTAGACACATTTATAACATATTTGATGACCTTAGAAGACCATTACCATGGAGATGTTGCATATCATAACAATATTCATGCTGCTGATGTCACACAGTCCACCCATGTGCTGCTATCTACCCCTGCTTTAGAGGTAAGAAACTGCACAGTCACTGCATTATACAGTAAGTTTATCTGTGTTTGCAGTAGTGAAGATATTCATCTTATTGGTTATTCAGCTTAAATCTACAAACAAAGAGGCACAGCACTGCAAAAACAGTTACTGTTCAACAAAGCAAATCTGCAGGTTTTCAGTATGGCAAAATCTGTATACACATCTCATAAATAATTTAAAAAAAAAAAATTTATTTAAATATGTACATAATAATATGCATTAGCACAAAATTATAGACATTACTTTTTTGCAAGTTTTTGCCTACCTCACTTATACCTCATTCATCGTGCCATAAGGTTACTTGTTATTTATGTTATTTGTTTTCTTTTAATGTTACTTTTTATTCATTTGATGGGGCAGCTATTGTGCTGAGCGTTATTTATTTCTGTAACAGAGAGATCAGAAAGTTCCCCTTGGGATATGTGAAGTTTTTGTATTGTTACATATAACGTACCAGTGTAATTTTGAAGGATAATGTTTGCAGTGTTTGTGTGTAGAGACAGCAGGCAGGTATTTGTTTTCAGATCTTCATTATGCTGCATTCTCATAACTGCCAAATTTCTTGTTTTGTTTCACAGGCTGTGTTTACCGACTTAGAGATCCTTGCTGCAATTTTTGCTAGTGCTATTCACGACGTGGACCACCCTGGTGTCTCCAATCAGTTCCTCATCAACACCAGTGAGTACATGTTCCATCTAGCCCAGTCTCGCATGGTGGGGGTAACTCAGGTCTCACTAAGAGCAGACTCAGACAGGCCGCCTCCTTGTGCGCACGTACGACACGAGCTGTCAGAAATGCACGCCAGAATATACACAGACGTGCTAGTGGGCACCACTGCATATGGACGCGCAAACATTAGCATGCGTGGCCAAACGCTGCCTGTATGCACACACTGTCCTGCTCACGCATGCACGCTGACGGAGTGATGCATGCAGGCCTGGCTGCCAGCGGGACAGGTGTCACATCCGTGCCCCAGTGTGTGGCAGTGCACGGGATCTGACGTCCAGTGAAGCGATTACTGCTGAGGGGAGCACTCCATCTGGCTCTCTGTCTGCAGTCCGCCTCACGCCATGCGTCCCCCACCCCCGCATCCCCTTCCCCCCGGCTTCCCATTCCCGATTGGCCAGAGGGGGATTCCCCTGCAGCCAATGGCCAGCGATGACTCATGGACTGGAAAACAAAAGGCTGCATGGATGTTCACCCACTGGCTGAGCTCTCGAGCGAAGCAGCCGTGGTACACTGCCTATAGTACAGACCGAATGCCGCTGATCTCATCATGAAGTTCCTGAAGATTGTGTTTTTCACTGAAATATTATCTTTGCAAATTCACTTTACCACTCAAACACCTAAATGAAGAGACACTGAAATGCAGCCTATGCACTGTGTTAAATCTGCAAGACGTTTCCCTCCATAATCCCAACAATCAACCCGGACCAGATTTCATTTATTTACTTGACAACGGCATGCCAGAATGACCTCAGGCAGCAGAGCTAACTCTCATTGTGATGTATGTGTCCAGCTCAAGAAAGAACAGGTGGTCTGGTACAGTGAATGTAACAGCATCACCTACTACAGCATCACAGTGTGTGTGTGTGTGTGTGTGATCCGCAGACTCTGAGCTGGCTCTCATGTACAACGATTCGTCTGTGTTGGAGAACCACCACCTGGCCGTAGGCTTCAAGCTACTTCAGGAAGAAAACTGTGACATCTTCCAGAATCTCACCAAAAAACAGAGACAATTATTGCGCAAGATGGTCATCGACATTGTGAGTGACAAGCCATTAGATTTAAAAATAATGGAATATTACTGTTTAACCTCTGTAGCAGAGTGTGAAGGGTAATTGTTGTTAACATTCACAGCACAAGGGATAATGCAACAGGGTACTGGAAGTTCTTTCTGCGTTTGTTTTTCAAGGTCCTTGCTACTGATATGTCCAAACACATGAATCTCTTGGCTGACCTAAAGACTATGGTGGAGACCAAGAAGGTTACCAGTTCTGGAGTCCTGCTTTTAGATAACTATTCAGATAGGATTCAGGTGGGTTACCTTTCTCTATGGTACAGATCTCACTAACTTAAGTGAACTTAAATTAATATCTTACTAAGCTATCATAAATATGCAAATATCTGAAAATGTTATCGAGCATAAGGAAGCTGAAGCATTTGTGGAAAATCCCTGCTTCACTCTAGGTTCTGCAGAACATGGTCCACTGTGCAGACCTGAGCAACCCCACGAAGCCCTTGCAGTTGTATCGGCAGTGGACCGACCGCATAATGGAGGAGTTCTTCAGCCAGGGTGACCGCGAGCGGGAGCGGGGCATGGAGATCAGCCCCATGTGTGATAAGCATACGGCCTCTGTGGAGAAGTCCCAGGTAACTCATGATGCTGTCTGACTCTTTGAATGTCGCCAAGGAGGATGATGGGAAACCACCTCTGAATTTGAGTACTTCCTTAATTCGACTTTAATAGTATGCTGAGGATTCAATTCCCTCATTGAAGTGTGCAAGTCCTGTTCAGTGATACTGTGGAAATCCCTTAACCCTTTGTCAAAAAAAGCATATGATTATATTTTCCCTTCCTCACCTTCTGTCCCCAAAGGTGGGCTTCATCGACTACATAGTGCACCCTCTCTGGGAGACGTGGGCCGACCTGGTGCACCCTGATGCCCAGGACATTCTGGATGCACTAGAGGACAACCGTGAGTGGTACCAGAGCACCATCCCCCAGAGCCCGTCACCTGCCCCCGACGACACTCTGGAGGGACGGCCAGGGGGCGCCGACAAATTCCAGTTCGAGCTGACGCTCGAGGAGGACGGCGAGTCAGACACTGAGAAGGACAGCGGCAGTCAGGCTGAGGAAGATGAGGAGGAAGAGGACAACAGTTGCAGCGACTCTAAAACACTTTGTACTCAGGACTCCGAATCCACCGAGGTCCCCTTGGATGAACAGGTGGGGGAGGAAGAGGAGGAGGAGGAGGAAGGAGCCTTCTCTGAGCCTTGCGTTGTAGAAGAGGAAGGAGAGGAGGAGGGGTTAGAAGAAAAGCCTGCAGACACATAACAGTGTGGAAAGGCATCTAAAACTTTGAGATTTATTAACAAATAGATAATATTTATAATTATAGACTTCTTTTGGTTCTGTTCTTTGTTTTTTTTCCTCCATTAATGTTCCAAAGCGCACATTGCACTCCACAACCCTGGCCAGACCTCACCTCCCTTTAGTCATGTCAGCTTGCTGGTTCTGCTACCAATTTGCACTCAGGACTCTTCTCGATTTATTTGGGTTGTAGGTCTGCTAGCTCATTCTTTCCTTGCTCTGGATCGGTTACTGGTTACAAAGTCATCTGAATGGTGTTTTTCCCCTTCTGCACTGCAACTCTCCCCCTCCCATATCATTCACCAACATGGATCTTTCTGATCAGGATTACACCACATCTGTGAACAAGGGATGGATTTTTTTTTTTGTGGCTGGGGGGGGGGTTGATCTTGATTCGAACCAGAAAGTCAGTGTTTGGTGAGAAAAAAAGTGGCATCTTCCACATCCCTGCTTGTGAAGAAGCTGGGGAAAAGGGGGGTGGATCTGGTGGAGTGGGCTCGTGCAGAGTAATCCAGTTCCTGCAGAATAATCCAGTTCCTGCAGAATAATCCAGTTCCTGCAGAGTAATCCAGTTCCTGAAGTTCATGTCTTCCTTGAAAACCTGCTGAAAAGGCTGAAGTCTCATGCAGTGGCACATGTATTCTGCAGTCATCAATTTGTTTTATGTAGGTTTTTGTTTTGAGAGCAACATTTAGAGATCTTATAAAGAGAAGTAATAGGGCTTCATCTGATACTGCTGTTGGTGTCTAGTCACTTTCATCTGTGCTGTCTGACCTCCTGCGAGGTCTTTGCACTGTGTGGATCTTAATCACTCTTCTGCAAAGCTCACAGCTCCAACATTACCATCTTTGGTTTGAGTCTTGGTTAACTTTTACTTTAGCAATTAGTGAATGGCAGTGGTTTTTGGAAGAAGTGACATGGTTATCATGAAGCTATTCAAAACACACTTTTTCTTTGTGCTGGCCTTTAGAAAGATTTCCTTTTTTGCCTAAACAGAACATTATCACATTTGTATTTTAAGGACAGCACAAAACCTACCTACATTGCTGATTCTAAAAAGCATCATTTGTGAAGTTTGCATTTGCAAATGACATCTGATTTTGTGTATACCATAACCACTCTGTGTTACATGCTAAAGCATTTTCAGTGTACAGGAATCTGTTACAAACTTCTTTTGAATGTATGTATGTACGCATTATTATTATTATTATTATTATTATTATTATTATTATTAGTGTTAATAGTAGTATTGATAGTAGTAGTCAGTACCTCTGAATCACAATCAGATTGTATTGATTTTAATTCTGCTTAATTCTTTTTCTGCATTTAAAATAGGGTCGTACACAAGACAATCAGCTTCATAGTGTAGTCTCAGGGCAAGCAGCGTTAGCTTAATCAGTGCGCTGGCTCTATCCATTTCATGCTTATAATTATTATTATTTATAACACATTTGCCAAAACAGCGCTGCACACGGCTTCACACAGCCGGAAAACACCCTGTCTCTCGTCCTTCATCCTTCCTGTTCCTACAGCCATGATTTCTCTCACTGATGCGTCCTCTGTTTTGCTGTGTCGCTGTTTCACCGCAGTCAGTGTAGCGGTACCAGGAGATTTACGTTGTAGCATGATTGCAGCGTGCGAGAAGCTCGCTGGCGACCCCAAAACGCCCCTCATCTGGTGAGAGGATGTACATAGACAATGAAGCATCGCTTTCTGTTTCTGTTCTGAAACTTGAAAGAGTGAAGCTGGCCTTGACGGTACATACATTGACAAAATGTTATTTTAGCGTTTTTATTACTCTTATTATTATTTTAGCATTCAATTTTTATCTTCTTTGTGCCAAGCCTTTGCCCCCCTCACCAGATGACCTTATCTGTAGAATTTTTCTTTTGTCTGTTTACAACCATGTATTTATTGTGCTGTACAGATGATTATAATGTTTATTGTAAATGACTGATTCTTACTCTATCATCCCTAATGGCGATGGTGTTGCTGTATTATGTAACTCTTGTTGAGAGAATGTTTATTATATGTATTCAGTGTAAATTTGATCTTCTGTAATATTTCACCTGAGCATTGGCGTAGATACCATTGGGGGGAACATGAATCACATTCGACTGGAAAAAAACAACACAGTTGCTGGGAATTAGCTGCCTTCGTTGTTTTTTTGTTTTTTTTTTTTTAAATAGCAGTGTAATGTGGTTCTGTCCTATTCCTGCTGAATACAGAAAAAAACCCTATAATGTGGGTTTTGGAATTATAAACTTTTAATTTAAAAAGACAGAATGGGGCTGCTAAGGACATCCCCCTAAATGCCCCCCCCCCTCCACCCGCTTCTCCACCCGAGAGTTTGTGTGTGATGGAGCAGTGAACAGGCCAAACAAGATAAGAGCTGCAGTTCCTTGGACCCAGGGCTGTGCCTTAACTTTAAATTCTGTTTTCCTTTGCATTTCCTGTCAGTCCTGTTTCTCCTCTTCCTCCTTTTTTTTTCCACCGCATCGTCGGCTTGACCTCGGAGCCGCACGCATCATCCGAGAGCAGCGCACCGGACACAGTCATGTTCAGATGTGATTCAGATGTCATCCCCATGTTGCTCAGGCTGAACTATATGGCGGGAGACGAAAACAGCCAATGATTTTTATTCTTTTATTTTTCACCCACACCTGATTGCCACCAGATGTAGTATGCAACACGGCGTATGCAATAAGAAAGCCCCTCTGCGTGGGTTGCGACTAGAGTGGGGGAGGAGGGTTTGGAAGTAACGGGGTTTGGGCAGGCGAGGAGCTGGAAACTCGCCTGAGCAGGCCAGAGGTCTCCGGAAACCAGCCTGCATTTTCATGCGGTTTGGAGTGTTATTATGACAGCACTTCTCCTTTGATCAGCCCTGTAGATATTTGCACATACCAAGAAGGGGGTGTCTTTTAAAACTCAACAAAAGCTCTTTTTGACACGCATACTGTAGATTTTAGCTGCCCTGGATCATCGGAATTGGTGACTTTTTATTCTTATTTTTTTTCGTTTGGTTTTTATTTTTTTATGGTATAAAAGGTTACATTAAATGTAATTGTAAAAGACTTCAGAACAACAGTTATTTTTTCTATGGGTTATGTCTTTAGAATGCCAACTTGTCTGGAAGTTTCACAAGACAATTCCACAATTATTTTAAAGGATTCCTTGTCTCTTACAGTCTATTGGATAGTACTGTAGATTAAGAACCTTCAGTAAAAAATAATAATAAATGAAAAGTGAAAAAAAAAAACATTTTTACATACAACAGAAATAAAAGCATGGGTTGACTCTGCCTAATTTGTTGCCATGTCTGCTGTTTTTCATCAAAAAAATCCTTTTTCATAAGGCATCCATATTAAATATTGCTAGTAAAAATTCTAAAAATATTTGCAATTGCATTAGGTAATTGTATCTGTGTTGTATTTCTTTCTATCCTATACCAATTTGCTTAGGAATTGTCACAAACGCAATGGAGTTGGTGTTTTTATTATGTAAGTTCTAGTGCCACCTTGTGGCCACTTTGAGGGAACACATTTGCCAATCTTGTGAGTTTTTATAATTTTATTATTGTGGTTTATTTTCAAGAGAATAAAAACACACACACAACGAGCACCATATTTTACATACATTCAACAACACAGTTTACAACACTGAATAAAAACCACTTAAGTAAGCAATTAAATTTTCAGGATAAATTTGCACATGTAATCAAATATGTATAAACTCAGACACTTCAAAATAAAACAAGAGATTTGCACGAATTAAAGAATGGGAGCAGATATATAATAAATCACTTACCATGTGTGTGCACTGCATCAAAGAAATAGAGCTGAATCAGATGTTAATGGTTGATTTATTCTTGAAGTAACTGGAATCCCGTCCAGGGTGTGATCCAGTCATGTGTCCCCGGCTGCCCGTGACCAATGGTTAGAAGATGGATAGGTATTCCTGAAGTGTGCCGAGCGGCAGGAAAATACAGAACTGTGCAGAAGTCTTAGACATCAAAAGGAAATGATCTGCTCACAAAGTTGCTTAGAAAACACACACTTTATCATTTGAATATATACAGTAAAAGTATAACACTCTTCTGTGCTCCAAAAAGTCACTGATATCTTGTTGAATGGCTAGAACACAGTTTTGGTTCCCAAACCTCTCCTCAGCCTTTCCATGTGCTTATCAAATTTTACCCACAGATAATTTAATTAATTAATTTGATTAGTGAATTAACCTCATGGGGTATTGATTACCCAAACAAGGTATACAAAGAGTTCACACATACATGGGTATGTAGGATAGTAACTGCAAATACTGGGATAACAAGAGGAAATGTCCGGAATGTTTAAGCTGTCACAGTGCGGCAAATATCACAGCTTAACACCAACACAAAAACAACTTAATTTCCTTTGGCTGCCTACGACTTTGGCACAGAATTGTAGATAGAGTGTCACTACCTGTCATTCAGGAATAATTCATTCTTCAAATCTCTTAAGTGAAAGACATTATCTCAGTCACTGCAGATTCATGCAGTTCATTTTGTTTAGCTGGTTCATGACAATGGACATGACTGGAAAATGCAGCTCATGACCGATGACCGAGATGCTCTTTCTTCCACCAGCCACTAGCATAATGATGTACAGATATCTCAAAGAGTTAGTATAGGAAATATAATGTAATATATCCATCCATCCATTTTCTCCCGCTTATCCGAGGTCGGGTCGCGGGGTCAGCAGTCTCAACAGACTAATGTTAATATAATTAACATTAAATATAAAAATTCACAGCCACAATCAAAACATTCCTGGGACATTCCTAACATTGCGTCCATTGCTTCCGGGTTTTGCTCCATATCCCTGCAACCTTTCAATGAATAAACATAACTAGATCAAAGAGAAACTGAAAAAACATAATGAATAATGTATCACGAAAGCGTCTAATGTAGAGTTGAAAAACACAAGGATGCAAGAATTGGAATATTTTTGGGTAGGGGGCTGAGTGGAGTGTCATGGTGGCGCAGCGGTTTTCACTATTGCCTCACACCTTTGGGACCTGTGTTTGAGTCTCTGCCAGGGTTTCATGTGTGTGGAGTTTGCATGTTCTCCCCATGTCGTTGTGGGGTTTTTTCTGGGTACCCCCTCACAGTCCAAAAACATGCTGAGGCTATTTGGGGTTGCCCAATTCCCCTGACGTGTGTGTGTGTGTGCCCTGCGATGGGTTGGTGCCCCATCCTGGGCTGTTCCCTGCCTTGCACCCATAGTCTTCGGACCCCCTGTGACCCTGGATGGGATGGGTGGTTTTGGAAAATGAATGGATGGACTGTGGTGCTTCGAATGAGTAAATTTTTTATTGAAAGTAATAAATGTTATACATAAAAATATTTGGGTTGCTTTTTATTCTTGAAAATTACAATGTACATTGTGGGCTAGTGAAAGTTATTTGGGAATATATCTGGTACATTACTTACTGAACTAGAACAGTGGGTTCCATCCCTGTCCACAATATAAATATGTGATACTTGACCGCATGTTTTGAAAAAATGCACATTTACATCTTATGCTTATTAATTGTTAATGATTTTGTTTTAGAAAGCTACTATTGGCCCTTTCCCACCACAGAAACTCTTCTCAGGGAAGAGGGGCTTTTTTTGTATCAGGAACTTCTGTCACTTTCCCACTGCAGGAAATCTGACCGATTTTAGTTCCTGGGAAGTAGTTCCCAGTCCTTTCTAAGTCCCTTCTCTGGGGTAGGTACATTTCATTCAAGTAGGAATTGCTGGGGTGGGGGTGATAAATTTGCTGCAGCCAGGTTTACGTAATGTAGAAGTGCATGGACTTGATTTTATCTCAATTTTTGTTTTCTATAGGAATAATGGAACAAAAATAGAACAAAATGAAGAGTGCATAAAATGGACAAATGCACTATCAGAAAAAAGAGCACCGGTTTGTACCTTTGCTGGCACAAGGGTGTACCCTACCTGTAGGTAAATGTACCTTTTAGTCTAATTTAAACTACAGAAATGGACTCTGAGGAACATCCCCAAAGTACAAATAACATTGCCTGGCCAGTGGTACAAAAATTATCCTGAGTCCATTTCTGTATCTTAAAAGGTACATTTATCTACAGCTAGTGTACAGTTGGAAAAGTCATGAGAGTACAGCTGCTGTGACAAGCAAAGGTACAAACTGGAACTCATTTTTTCTGACAGTGTGATGTCAGGGGTGAATTACGTACTCTGACATTGGTAGGAGGCCCCCTAATGGGTCATTTGAAATATTTTTTCTAGTTGAAAGACAAAAGAGAGATGATTAAAAACAATAAACAATATGCTAATCAAAGCTCAGGGTGCCTGTGCTAAACCTTACCGATGAGGGGGGAGTGCTGTCGCTAAAATTCGCCAATCTGGGAGAGGGGGATATTGCACAAGCGCATTGAATGGACAAATTTAAGAGCTGCTCCCGGTTTTTGCCATGGCCCTAGGCTGTAGCCCAGGATAGCCCTATGCCCTAGGATAGCCCTACGCCCTAGGATAGCCCTACGCCCTAGGATAGCCCTATGCCTTTCACCGTCCCTGAGGCTAGGGTTAGTCTTGAATTTTTGCTTATGTTTGTTAAATTCTGTCAAAGACACAGGAGAGTTAATGTTAATCTTTGTGCCATTTTCCTCTTCTGTTAGGCTACTTTGTGTCAGTTCTATTGGCAGTGAAACAACTGATAGCCTACCACTGGACTCCAATGTAAAATGAAAACTGGGTAGCACAACATCTCAAAGCTGGAATAGTCCTTTATATGGGGGATTGGGGCAACTTTGTCTATACTGAAAATTATTGCTAAAATGCAAATAACAGATATGTTGCTGTAATTTAAATGATCGTATTATATTTCCATAAGTCTAACTTCTAGAAATCCTGTTCTCAAGCGGCTGCCTGTAGGCCACCTGTGAATGATGTAATGAAGTGTTGTACAGCATTTACTTTTGGGATATAAAGGGTGGTAAAGAACTGTCCCTAAATCGTCTTGCTGAAATTAGACTTGGCACATGGGTTATGTACACCTTGCTGCATGGAGGATCTGGAGAACCCTGATCTCCAGTTCAACCAAACGTAATGAGACTTTGCGATATACCTGCACAATTCTAATATGGCCTTGTTGTGAGTGAATTTGCATATAATGGGTGACCTCCTGGAATGTGAGAATCCTAAGATACAAGACAGAACAGGATGGACTTCATACGAGAAACAGTATTAATTCAGTTACTTCCTTAGCACCCTATATTGGTGCCAGTTGGATCCCCTATTCACTTCCTCACTTTTCTATGGTCAGAATTTGCTGTCAGTATTCAAATTACCAACCAAGAACACTGGGGCATCCCTAGCACTCTTCCTTACAGAGGTAAGATATTTAAAATATTTCTTTACCAGCTTGGTAAAAGTAGATGTTGAAGACAAAATTGTGATTTAAAGAGATTTTAACACATTACACATATGTAACATGCTCTACTTGACAGGAAAGAGGAAGACACATTCTGATTTTCTAGAGGTCTTACAGAAGGAGGAACAACACATAGATGTCCAGATGGTTCTGAGAATTGTATTTGCACTTTAAGTTCTACACTACTTACATCTTTTGAGGGCTTAATAAAACCATTCTTTTTTGAAATAGTGGTGTTATTTAGTGTGGTGCATCACTGGCACAAAATAAAAATGAAAGCAGTTTCAACTTCAGTTGAATTTACTTTGATGCATATGCAAATGTGTCATACAAAACTTTACTGTTTGCAATTAAAAACACTCATGCACATGGTGCAATACAGGATAAAAAACTGCATGGCCCTTAAATACTGCAAGAATCATTTCCTAGTGATTCCCCCATCAGGGTGGCTAACAAGTCACAAAACTCCCCATTCCTCTCTACACTCCTCAACATGCAATTCACAAAGATAATGAACATCACAAGTCAACATTATGGCTTTGACATGGTTTACATTGCAGTCATTATGTTTTAAGAGACATTGCCACCTACACTTTAGTGTACCAAAACTACACAACCATTTTTCTACAGCAACCATCTACAGCATTTTTCTACAGCAACCATCACCTTTCTGGTTTTGTAATTGTACAGCTGCTGTTGTGCTGTAAGCATAGCATTATCAGAAACCAGCTTTGTAAAGGATATGCTATATTACCAAGGATGTAGTGCCATACATCTCTCCCATCTATGTCCCTGATTTGGTTTGGGAACATCTGTTTGTCTGCCAATTCCCACAGTGTTGATAATCTTAATACTCTAGCATACGATGAATAA